AATTATCTGGTCAACATTTTGGGGACAGCCATGGTTGTATTTTGGAAGATACAGCACACCCAGCCCCCATGGGTACATAAGAGAGAGTGGCTGGCCCCTTACAAAGTTCACATCACAGTGTATTATAACACACATCAATATCCGTAACAATATCAACTGGTGACAATAACCAAAACAATAATGATACATGTCAAATCATGTATGTATTAGGAGAGTGCTGTCCTCCAATCCTGTTAAAACGCCACTTTTAAATAAAACTTGCAGGAGAAGGCAGGAGCTGGGATGGTGGGCAAATTGATCCAGCTTGCTCAGTCATCAGCAAAAAAATGTAAACCATGAGAAGCAGTAGACCTGTGCTTGCCAAGTATAAAGGATTGTGTGACAAAATCTCCCAAGTTTTTGTTTGCTAGGTTGATTGTTGGTTTTCATCACCCTGGCTGTAAGCCAGATGGGGGGATATTGCGATAGCATACTCCTTCTGTGTGTATTTGTGCACTTACATATTGGCACTTATGGGGTACTGGGAACAAAGGGCAACAATAGGGACAATGGTACCCCGCAAGTCTGTCTTTAGAAATTGAAGTACCCCCTAAACATAATACTATGTGTTTTGAGATTTCTAAGGGGACAAAGGAGAACAAAAGAAAGGGATTAGGGTCGAGCAATAGTGGTACCCCAAAAACCCCATATGCTAAGTGTGGGTGGGTGCGTGTGTTCATGGTGTAAATCGAGGACAAACACATGCAACATCATCGATAAATCGAGGACAGAAACCGAATCGAGGACTCCTCGGTTGGAAAACATGTACAAAACCAATGAGAGCTGTTGCAAAAATGTTTGAGTACAAACAAAGGAAAAGGGAAGCAGAACAAACGAAATACCTCAATTTACACAATAAATATGGGTGCACTGGTATGTGTGTGTGTCCAAAGACTATTCAAACAAAGAAGCTGAATGGTTTCTTTTGACAACTGATGAGGTCGTAAGGCAATATGCAAAATTTCTAATGCAGTGTAGTGAGCTGGGTATTTAATTGGCTGTTTCGGCAACCAGCCGAAACAGCCTTTGTTTTCATTAAGATTTTTATTTTTTGGCTGTTTCGGCACTTTGCCGAAACAGCCTTTGTTTTCGTTAAGATTTTTTCCCATAGGTTTTGTACACGTTTTTTTGTCAGAGCCACTTTGGCAATTATTTTAAATCCGATCAACTTTAAACTTGGCATAGACATTAACCATCATCTGAAGATGTGTGCCAAAACTTTTCGTCATGGTGACGTCATCGACTAATTTATTATAGATTTTTGAATATTTAATTTTTCCCGTAGACTTTGTACACAGAAATTTTTAAAAAATTGTCGATTTTCAAAGGGCATTTTCGACTCTTTGCCAGTAATTCATTTACACCAGTCTTTGTCCAAGCAAAGACCCTAATTCAAACAACATTGTGTAATGATGACGTCATGATGACGTCATCCGGTGGTTATTTATGGGCAATTAAATTGTGACACTTTTAATATTTAAAAATGCATAAGAAATCAACCGTACGCGTCCGCAGCATTCTGTTCCCGGCAAGTGGTAGAATAGGTAAGGTCTTTATTTCATTCAGTGTGCGTGCAATCACGTGACCCTTGCTTCCGGTCGAAAAAGGCCAAAACCGGAAGTGGCTTATTATTTAAAAGTGGTAATAGATATGAACTTTCTTTTAACGGAGTAAGTCTCTTGGCTGATAGTATTCTTCAAATCATCTACTGATGACGTCATGCAATCTACGAGCGCCCTCTAGCGACAGGTTGAAAATTTTCAAAAATGTATTTTGAATAGATGTCCGTGGCGAAGTTTGTCGGAATCCACTAAATATTGGTGTATATGATGACCTTGACCCACTTAAGACGTCTGCAAAGTTTAAGGTGTATGACGTCATCAGACCGGAAGTTATAATGAAAAGACCCTTTTTCCTTAGAAAAGTCTTGAAAAATCAACCATGGCAGTTTTTATATTAGTTTTTACTTTAATTGTCTATTTAACGGTAGGTCTAAAACATTTCAAAGCTTCGAGGCAATAAGCAAACTCGGACATGCCCTGCGCACGCTTAAAACTTCAGGTTGACAATACCCCTGTTTTAAAACATGCACAGGACGTCCACAATGTACATGTACAATGTACATGTACAATGTACATGCACGTACGTTGTACATATCGTATGTCAGTCAGCCCGCGCGCAGCGCACGTGTTGCTGAGGTCAAATCCTGTCCACAGTGACCGTTTTAGCCGATTTCCGGCTAACTTTGACAGATTTTATGTTCATGCATAGTCAGGGACGTATTATTGATAAAAACAAATCATAATGCAGAAAAGCCCTATCTTCTGTTGCAAACAGACATAGATCTCTATTCATATGTCTATGGGTCCAACAGATAATCAATGTGGGGAACAGCTCTGTGGTTGTTCACAACCACAATTTCTAGTCTTTTTTTTTTTTTCTTTTTCAGTCATTTTCCCCATAGCATTTGTACACGTTTTTTTGTTACCGGCACTTTGGGCGCTAAAATCATTCCGATTGACTTTATACTTGGCACACACTTAGACCAGCACCTGAAGTTGTGTGCTGAACATTGACATCATGGTGACGTCATCGACTAATTCATTATAGAATTTTGAATATTTAATTTTTCCCATAGACTTTGTACACAGAAATAAAAAAAAATTGTCGATTTTCAAAGGGCATTTTTTGACTCTTTGCCAGTAATTCATTTGCACCAATCTTTCTCCACGCAAAGACCCTTATTCAAACAACATTGTGTAATGATGACGTCATGATGACGTCATCCGGTGTGTTTTTATAGGCAATTAAATTGTGACACTTTTAATATTTAAAAATGCATAAGAAATCAACCGTACGCGTCCGCAGCATTCTGTTACCGGCAAGTGGTAGAGTAGGTTGAGGTCTTTATTTCATTCAGTGCGCGTGAAATCACGTGACCCTTGCTTCCGGTCGAAAAAGGCCAAAACCGGAAGTGGCTTATTATTTGAAAATGGTAATAGATATGAACTTGCGTTTAACGGTGTTAGTCTTTTGGCTAAACGTATTCTTCAAATCATCTACCAATGACGTCATGCAATCTTCGAGCGCCCTCTAGCGACGGGTTGAAAATTTTCAAAAATGTATTTTGAATAGATGTCTGTGGCGAAGTTTGTCGGAATCGCCTTAATATTGGTGTATATGATGACCTTGACCCACTTAAGACGTGTGCGAAGTTTTAGGCGAATGACGTCTTCAGACAGGAAGTTATAATAAAAAGACCCTTTTTCATTTGAAAATTCCTGAAAAATCAACCATGGCAGTTTTTACGTTAGTTTTTACATTAATTGTCGATTTAAGGGTAGGTCTAAAACATTTCAAAGCTTCGAGGCAATAAGCGAACTCGGACATGCCCTGCGCATGCTTAAAACTTCAGGCTGACAATACCTCTGCTCTAAAACATGCACAGAACGTCTACATGTACATACACGTACGTTACGCACATACATGTACATCGTATGTCAGTCAGCCTGCAGAGCACGTGTTGCCGAGGTCAAATCCTGTCCACATCACAGTGACCGTTTTAGCCGATTTCGGCTAACTTTGACAGATTTTATGTTCATGCATGCGCATAGTCAGGGACGTATAATAAAATTTCATAATGCCAAAAAGCCCTATGTTACGTATTTAGGTGCAGTTTTTCTGCAGTGGGATTTCCCACAAGTCTTTTCCTATACAACACTGATATCTTACTGAGTAGGTCTGAACTTCAGCCGAGAATTACTATGAGAAGGAAAGAGAAATCGTATTTTTTTTCGCGCTGTCATTCGATTGAACATATTCCTAAGGGTCAGAATATCAAGTAATATTTCATAAAAATGTTTCAGTTCAAAAAAGCAAATTACAAATTTAAAGGTGCAATGTTTCTGCAGTGGTTTTTTTTTTAGCCCGTTAACTTTGTACACGTGTTAGCCCATTGACTTTGTACACGTTTTCAAGCCACCATTTCTATAACTTGGCGATCTGGAATCGTCATCAATGTTACAGCCAAGGAAGACCCTCATACAAAAATTATGCCAAGACTATGACGTCATGATGACGTCATCACCTAATTTTTTTTATTGATTTTTGAAAATTTACGTGCATATTATGAAGTCCTATATCTACAGAACTGTAAGTCTGATTGGCTTGAAACTTGGTATGTGGCTAGACCGGGATGTGTTATAGGTAAAAAAAATTAGGTGGTCGAGACCTGAACATGATTTTTGCGGGAATTGATAGAATTATCGAGGGTCTTCATTTTTTAAATATGTGCAAATAAATCATGTGACCCTTTCTTCTGGTTGAAACCGGAAGTGCTTTGTAATTTAAAATTGGTAAAAGACTTTCTTTCGGTTGAAACCGGAAGTGCCTTGTAATTTAAAATTGGTAAAAGATGTGAACTTGCTTTCAACAATGTATGCTCTGGCTTAGTTGCTCTTCACAGAAAAAAACGGTGACGTCATAAAATGTTAGAGCGCCCTCTTGCGGCAGGTTGTTATAGATGATTATAGATGAAAATTGATGTTACGTCTTCATGACGTCAGCACGTGACATGTGACGTCATAATTCAAGGCCCTATGAGAATGTAATCACATATTTATATGCCACCATTGATTATTTATAACAGAACTACACATCCATTTTGGATGGAACTTATACTTGAAACTTTACATGTGACATATGTCACAAAAAAGTTACCGAAAACAGCCCTGTGTTTGTCCACAAACATAAATCTAGTTGAACATGTTTTTGTTGAGAAAATCTCTAAAATTGTGAATATTCAAAAGTTACTTTACTGTGCTGCCCTTTTTCTAGATATTGAAAGTATCAATTGTCCACAACTTTAAAATGATTGAAGTTATGGGTGCTTATTTCTTATAGGAAACCAATTTCAAATTCTGCGTAGAGTTTAGTTATTATTGATAAGTCTTTGCTTTCAGAATCAGAATAAGGAGCTTGAAATGTTAGAGCTTGCTATCCAGAGACAGCGTGAAACTTTGAGGGTGCTGCACAATGCTGACATTGATATAAGACGTGAGAGAGATGCTGCAGTGAGGGAATTGGAAGAACTCAACAGTAACATTGATAGGAAAACATGTCGAAGGTAAAACCAAATCTGCTTGCAAATGTTGTTATCTGCATATAAATACCAGTCTACATTTAGGCCAAATTGAATTGGAAGTGTAATTATTGGTCTGTGAAAGCTGTGGAAGGATAATTTTGGATAAAAATGTCTATAAAGCTTTACACTACTGCTTCCTTTCAGACCCACCTTTCTGTTAAAATTAGTAACTTCATTTCATGCATGCGCAGACTTGAGCCAATTTCAATCCACTATACAAAGCTTCAAATCACATTTAGCAATGTCTTTGTTTACAGAGCCATGAAAAGAAACATGTTAACAAAGAGGTGTTCAGACACTTTTGGGATTTTGCTCAGAACAGAAACTTGATTTTACTACTAGAATGTGTGAAAGGTTTTAAGATAAACTAAATTAGGTTTAACATTTCAAAAATGGTTATGATTCACCTAGTCAGTTTCCCTTTGTGGTTCATTTTAAAATTTGTTATAAAAAGCTGTATCCTCTCTGAGTGTTTCCCGTTTGCTATTTCCCAGGTCTGCATCGTGGCTTGGGGCTTGATCCCTGGCTGCATGGCATATATGGGTTTATGGCTTCTGACTAGCACCCCTTAAACAAAGACATTGATAAATTGGGGAACCGCTAACTTGATAGGGTTGAATAACTCATTTTTTTTGGATAAGTTACCTAGTCAGTTTCCCTTATGGCTCAGCTGAAAAATGTGTAATTAGCAGGTACAAAGAAATCGCGATAAGTCAAAATTTGGCATTGTATTCAATTTGGTTTATTGACAAAGTGAATTTATTATTAATACCAAACAGGGAACATCACATATTGAAACTTCAATACTAAATTCAAAATTATTAACAAACTTGGACATAACATGCACTTTGAACTTTGTGAGTATATTAAATTTTTAATTTTTATTATTAATTTACATAATTTACATGTACATTTATATAAAATCAAAAGCATAAAGTAATACAAAAATCACAATGCAGAAAAGATTTTATGTTGATTTTTGAAGTTTTGAAGATTATCACCATTAAATTAAAAATTCTTTTTGTATTATGTTTGTTAGGTAATAGGTATATGTACAAAAATGTTGTGTGACTTCACAATGACGTCATACAAAATGTGATTGTTCAAAATACATATAAGGGTAATTCCGCTTGTCTTGAAACTTGGTGGGTAGGTAGATACTGTTAATAGTATGGAAAATCTGAAGTGATGTCATGATGATGTCATCACCTAATTGTTTTGTTAATTTTTAAACTTTTTACATTTTCTAAACTTTTATAAACTGTTTACAGGGAGATTGAATTACAGTTTTGCGAAGTCTCTTTTCAGAACTTTGCACCAGCCTTTTTAAAATATATTGTGCTCTTCTTCTGGTGATCTATTTTCCACCATTACACAACATTATAATTTTTTATGACTTACCCTATTGTGGTTAGCAATGGTTTAAATTGTCATTGTTTTAACTAATACACTGTTTGAGCAAAGCCAAACAGACATAAGTTACAAGCAAAATTGTCAAAAAAGAAAAGAAATTGCTTTAAATTTTATCCAGGAGCAACCCATAAGAAGAAAATTACTTAATAATAACCTAGCTTTACATTGAAGTTCTCATAATACAGGGTTCAAAATTAGCGGTAGCCTGCTAGTCAAATGCTAGTCAAAACAGCAGCTGGCTTGTCAAACTATTCCTTAAGTAACCCGGCTGGCAAGTCCAAAATTATTGGGATACGGTAAAGATGAAAGGAAAAAAAGAAATCATGAAATTCAGAGAGCAAACCTGTACTAACTTGTGTCTAATTGTATCAACTGTTAAATAGGGTTAAATTTTTAGATCTGTTTATTAAAAACACTGACAAAGTTGCCTCAGAATAGATGAGAAATCAGTTTTAAATGGGTAAAAACAATGTTATTTTAATACAACCTATTTCGTTCTAAGGTCGCCTTGTTGGATCACGTCTGTTTTCACATTGTATACACTTGCGTGAGAACGAATGTGATAATGACGCAAGGTTACCTAGGTACATCCGGATTTTAGATTTATTCAGGTTCGTTTGGATCATGTTTTAATACAGTTCTTATCAGCCACCATTTTAGATTTGTTTGTAAATGAAAATAAAATACTTCAAGTTTACTAAAAAAAAATTGTCTGTCCCCAAAGACATATGAGTCTCCTGTTTAAGTTTTTACCCAATGCCCGCCACAAATTTAATTCATAAATTGTCATGCTTCCATGAGTCCACACGGAAGTTTTCAGAAGTGAGAGGTCTTTTTTTTTGCAGGATATTTCTCTTTCACTTCATGCGATTTTCCAGTTTCCATAAAATTCCAAGGGTGATTCTCTTAAAGAAATCAATGTACCATAAGTAATTTCAAAAACTCTGACTTTTACACATTAATTTTCCATTCCGAGGGGCCCTGAAGCGCGCCACCAGGGATCAACTTACATTGTATGCACATTGTTGTTTATGAGACTCTTTATAAAAGAAAAAAACAAACATGCGGGCTGGTGGAGAAAAAAAAGTTAAGGTCGAACGCTGCAGCTCGTCTCATCACACGCACGAGGAAACACAAACACATAACCCCAATCATTCGTGCCCTACACTGGCTCCCCATTCCACAACGCATCAAATTCAAGATCCTCCTTCTCACTTACAAGGCTCGGAACGGACTTGCACCCTCATACATCAAGGAACTCATCCCACCCAAACTGCAAACCTCTTCCATCCATCTCCGCTCATCATCCACAGCACACTTGCAACTTGCTCCTGGTCCCTGTACCCATACTCGATACGGTGATCGAGCCTTCTCCGTCTGTGCTCCCAAACTTTGGAACATACGGAATTCCCAAACTCTGGACACTTTCAAAACTAGATTGAAAACACACCTATTCAACTCCGAGTCAACTCAGACACATTTGACACTTTTCTTTAGTTGTTTACGCTTGTTCAAGTTTTTTTGGTTAATACCTGTATATTTTGGTGCTATATAATTTGTTTTTGCTTTTTTGTTTTACTTTTTGTAAAGTGCCAAGAAACAATATGTATGAAGCACTATATAAATGTTAATTATTATTATTATTATTACAGTCGAGTCTCGTTATAACAAACTCGTTCGGACCTAGCCAAATTGTTTGTTATATCAGAATTTTGTATTAAGAGGAACATCAGTCCCATTCATTGTGCACATAAAAGCACAGTCGGGGCCATGACTTTATGTTTGTTCTAACCAGAATTTTGTATTAACAGAGTTTGTACTAACGAGAGTCGACTGTAATCACTTTGGAGTTAATTCTAAAAGATCATAAATGCCTGAAAATGTGAAAGTTTTCAAGAGGCCAAGTTTTGAATTTCCAACAGGTAGTTCAGCATATTTTGTTATCTTTCTATATCACATAACATGAAGTTGTATGGGTATTTAATATGAAGGTCTACAGAGGTGAAAATGGACAATGTATTTAGACAGAAAAGGCTGTCACATTGACTCTCTGCCACTGTATGCCTGATGCCCATATCAAGATTCTGCAGGTTAAAATAGTCATGTGTACTTTGTATAGTGGAAATCTAGTACAGACATGTGGTGTGTGCTGCACATTGAACTTTGTGAGTAGTCGCAACATACCATCTTCTGTTTGTGCACAGAACCCATATTTGAGCAACTTCAGTTCTGAGGTACTATTTACTGGTTGTTTTATGTTGTCATATATATAGTTTGCTGGAGTTATGAAAGTCAAAACCTAGTAAGAAACTAAATGGTTACCTGCTTTTTTCTTTAGGGATTTCCTTGAGGGACGAAAGACAATCACACCAGAGGAAACAGATTACAAACTACTGGATGCATATATACATCAAGACCACCAAAATGATGAGATTGAGTGTCTTGGGAGGACCTTGGTCAAGAGAAGAGCAGAGCTACGGGTTGCTGATCAGCTTCTTCAGGAATGCCAAGCTGAACTCAAAGATGCAACAGAAAAGGTAAGGTTCCTATGGAATTAGCTCCGAAAGGTATATCTTGTGGTGCATTCCTGGAATCAGATTCAAACTTGCCTTGTTTTGCAATTCCATTGTGTCCCATTGACTAAAGACTTTGACTGAGATTTGAGTATCGTGACTCTGACTTCACAATTGGTACTCGTATACCACAAGTACTAATTGTGAAGTCTGAGTCAAATACAAATAATATCTTTTACTGAAAATTAAAAAAAAAAATTCAATGTTATGTATGTAAGTACACAAAGTACATGAAGTAAGTGTCCAGCTGCACAACGATGTTCATATTAAAGAGTCCCAGACACTATACAAGAACAAAGAGACTTGTGACTTGTACTTGCAGTGTTCTCCAGGAGGTGAACATTTAGCGAGCAAAATCCATGATAGCATGTGCAATTAGAATAAAGGTCAAATAAAATGCATCTAAGCTTCCTTAGATTATCCCCACTGTCAGCTGCCAAAATAAAATCAGCTGGAAAAGTGGAAATGATAGTTATTTGATTCTGAAACAAAAACAAGAAATTAAAGAAAATGATTAAAAAAATTAGAGTGGCAACAGCCATGGCTAAAAAGACTTACCAATGCTTGGTTTGACAAAAAAAAATGAACAATCTTACTCTGGTCTCTGAAAAAAAAACTGGGATCAATGCAGCACCTTTGACAGTGGCAACATTGGCAATGGCAACAAACCCTTTTTGGAGAATCAGAACAAGTAAAAAGCGACAAATGCTTACAGAAATTCCTGGGAATTACATGGAATTCCTGCAGTGAGAAATGAATGTGCGTTTTCCTGCTCACATCTCGCTATGTCCATCCATACCCTAGGAAAGTAGGTACCAGTTTGTCTGTATCAATACATACTCTAGGTTGCCTTACTGTTGCATGCAAACAACAAAGTTTACCAGAAAATTTGGCCATTCTTAACTTTAAAGTTATTTAAACTGACACTGGAGGAAATTTAGTGAAAAAAACATGAGCTGGCTCTGAAAAGTTTGTTATCTTTTGATTTAAAGGGAATATACATTATTTGCTTTTGCTGTTATTGTCAGAAATGGATGGAATTGGGGGGTTGGAAATATATAGCAAATATAGTTACACTGACTTTTTTGAGGTTTTGGGTTCGAAAAAGCTATAAAAACCAAGAAAAACAATCATTTTCATGTAGTCTGGTTCCCTGACTCCATATAAGAAGAAACAGATCAGTTTACATACATTGGGGAATTGTAAGGTCAGGGAACCAGTCTAGCTGGCTTGTACCCGTTCATAGGTGTGTAATCGATTGCAAACAAGTGCGATGCTCAATTGGGGCCAGTATTTGAGGGAAAAAAAAACAGTTTTTTCCAACGCTGGTCGGCCGACCAGCGTTGGAAATTGATACACAAATACCACTTTTCTTGAAAATTACAGTATACCAGGTGCCTTGATTTTACAGGATGCTTCACACTGTCATTCACTAACAGTCCAGCAAGGTATTTCAAAATGATTTGGTAGTTTTATTTTTTGATGTTTGCAAATGTTGTATTTTCCCTTTTAAATAAGACATCCAATGTAAAATTAGGACACTTGAAATACAGTTTCAAACCACTAACTTCTATTTGGATTGGATCCAAGTGAATGGGGATTGAGACTCAGACTCATGTGACCCAGCTACAACTATGGTAAAGTCACACAATGTAAGTGCACATTTGGTCAGTGGCATGCTTAGTTTGGTTGTTCATCATGCAGAGTTCAAGATCAAATATAATCCCTTTGTCATCTGCCATGAGAGGTCAGAATATCTCAATGAATACTACTATTTACTGAAATGTCTGCTTGATGTCAGCTTAGTTCGGGCGATTCACAATGCAGTGCGCCACCAAGAGTTTACCACGGAGAGTAAATTTTTCAAGTTTACGGTCGACAAAACCATGCCCATTTGAATGAGTGTCAGTAAACAACTTGAGCTAATTTGTTATATAGATTGGGGCATAGCGTTCTGCTGCCTTTACACACAAAAAAACACCATGTTGATAAAAAGAAAAGAAAAGGGCAAACAGATACTCGAATCATAGGCTTACGAGACTACTGACCGGAAAAACGAACAATTTCAAATCTCCCGCGCTGTGAATTCGTCGACCATCTCCCACAATGCACTGGGAAAAATGAACTCTACGTGGCAAACTTTTGGTGGCGCACCGCATTGTGAATCGCCCGAATTGTTTAATTCACTGTCAAAATGGTTTCAACTTCTTGGATGGTTTATAAGCTTTTCCGGTGATAACTTAATTGCATTTGCATTTCTGGGTAACTAAGCACCTTGCCAAACATATATAGCTTCCTCTGGTCCATTTTTCGTTGGATACCCACCAAAGTTTGCCGGATACAAACTGCCTCCGGGGGATGTTTTTCACAGTGGTGCATGTAGTTAGGATTTCAATGCGTTATACAGGTCAAAGTGGAATCTACAGTGCCACGTTAGCTGCAGTCACTTTCAAAAGCTCCATTGCAACCTTCCAATAATCGTCAGCTAAGGATCACCATACCACCTGTGCAAACTCAGCCTAGCGCCATCAAGTAACTTCTGCGTTAAGAACCCCATTGTCAAAACCATACTCACCTTCGACACCATCCATCTCTTTCTAGCTTATTATTTACACGCTGGTTTACCCGATCATAGATCGGGTAGGGCGTAGTGTTGGGGATGAAAATGTGGGGAGTTAAATGTAAATGGGGGATATAGTTGGGGAGACATGCAGTTAAAGAATAGCAATTTCTGTGGTGTGATCTGAGGCAATTTCTGATCACTAAAACCAATTTGAGCAAAAGATCATCTGTGAAAGTTTTGAGTTTTGAGTAATTGAATCAGCTACATGTATTCTGAGCAATAGAATCATTATTGTAGGCTACAATATTTTTATTCAGGGAAGAAAAAGTATGGGGGGAGGTAGACCAAACAATGTCCCCCCTCAAAATGTGTGTGTGTGTGTTGGGGGGGGGGGAGTTCCCCCTGTCCCCCGTCGATTTACGCACATGATAATTATGTACCATGGCAACTGTCTGTAAATGTTGCCGTTGGTCTGTTAAATTGGCTTTTTGTGAGGCAGTCGCATTTGGAAAACGTAGTGAAAAGGTTACTGTAGTACACAGGTGAAGGCTGGTTGTACAGTTTGACAATAAATCATAATGCAATAAAATGTGAAGGTGTCATTTAAAATGAAAATGTTGAGTGTTACCAAAAAATTGGAATCATGGAGGAAGGTCATAATTAAGTTTCAGTATTGGACTCTTCAACAAACGTAAACTTGAACTTCTTACAATTTGCGAGACCGTCTGCGATTCAACTTTTATTCAACTTCAAGTTGGTTCAACCATCTATATATAAGAGCAAGTTTTACTCAGCCTCCGAGAAATGTTTGCTTCTGAAAGGATCCAAGACCGCGGCTTCACGTCCGTGGAAAAAATGTGGGTGTCTTCCGCCGGGTCGGACACTTTTTCGTCGATTTTTTTGTGACTTCGTTGAAGATCGCGATATTTGAAGCAATGCATCGACCCTTCGTTGACCCCAAACAGGCCCCCGAAATTATAACACGACACTGAATTATACGTGGTGGGCAGCGAACTCACAACGCTCGGCCTTGGTGGTGGTGGAAGCATGGAGCTGTAAACACATTATGGAAGCAACAGCACTCTATCACGCGACGTCACATGCTTGCGCTTCAAATAGCGAGCACCGTAGACCCAACCTCGTTTCCAGGGTGTGGAGCAGGCTGCAGTACGCGTTGCCATCGACAGTTTTGCATAGCCCGGAAATACTATGCAGTGTAGACTTTCGATTGGTCAGACCGCGCAAGGCATACTTAATGTGTAGTCCTTCTGAGTATTCGTTGCACTCGGCGCAGGGGCGGCAAGCGAAGCACCATGGAGAAAAAATATTTTACCTAGGTCACCCCATACCACAATTTGGTGAACGCTTTTGCAGAAGGGCCGAGTAGAACACGTAAACGGAACCCCTACGTCGAAGCCGCTGACCTCGCACAGTCTAGACACGCAGAAAAGCCAGCACAGGGGGCGGCCAGGCAGTCAACGTGAAAGCGCACACGATGGCAAATTCCTGCGCAAAATGCAGTCACGAAAAATCGAGGAAAAGGATCGCCGGTCTGTACGGGAAAATCAGGACAACCCGAAGTGTCCGACCCGGCGGAAGACACCCTCCGCATTTTTCCACGGACATGGAGCGATTTTGGCGCCGCGGGAGCCCGCGGTCTGGGATCCTTTCATGAGCAAACATCGTCTCGGAGGCCGAGTTAAACTCTCTCTTATATATATAGATACTTAAAGGCATAGTCCATCATTTGTAATTGCTGCATTTTGTCCGTTTGAAGCAACAAAAGAGCTCAAAATCTAAACAAGGGTGCTGAACAACTAACCCGATGAAGTTTCAGCTCAGCTTCAGCTGTAGGCCCTATATTCCGAGAAAAACAGCATTCTAGGATCTCGATTTCAATCAAAAGTTGCTGAATCATGTTTTGAATTGGGCCTGAATTCAGCGTCTGAGACACGTTCTCACTGAGCTGATTGCAGCTACGCGATGTCCAGGCGCGGTTCTAGAGCCAATATTTTGGGGGCCAATATTTTTGGGGGGCTAGCAAGGTGAATCCAGATTTTTTTTCCAGGGAAGCGTGCTGAAATGTAGACCGGTTATTTTCTCTGGACACTTAGGCCTCTGAAAATCAATACGTGGGGGAGGGGGGAGGCTCGTGTCATATTTTCTATGGGGAGCGTTCGCTCGTACCCCCCGCCCTGCAAACAGGACGCTGGGAAGGGCTGACAAATCAACGCTCTGATTGGATAGATTTTGCGTGACCTGTGACCGGCAAGGCGTCACGGCCACGACCCTGCAAGGTTTGAAACGGCCTTTAAGACTGAGTCATTCGTCACTCTTTTATTCTCATTCATAAATGCGGCGCCCTAGTTTGGTTGAAAAGCATAATAATGTAGGAAAATCTGTAAAACTTATCTGTTTAGTAAATTTTCAACTCCCGCCAGTTGCTCAGGCGCCGTTTCGAATTCACGAAGGGTCGAAATGCATATCATTCGACGCTCAAAATTTGTCCACATGGTCCGCAATGAAAAAGAAATCACATCCGGTATGGTGTGTATGGATTTCTATGGCAAACTTTTCGGATAGTATTTGCGCGCATTGGCTAACCGCGGTCTACAGCTGCAGCCAGATGCTTTATACAAAAGTCATGATAAATTACCCAGAATGCCATCCCCACTTCCTTCACAAGATTCTGTGAAGCTCATCTGCCTTTCCCAGCGCCCTGTTTGCAGGGCGGGGGGTACGAGCGAATGGGGAGCGCTGATAAAATCCCACAATCGGGCACACTATATTAACTAAAAGTGTACAAATGCACCCTTCTCATTTAGGGGGAGACCGTTCCCATGTACAATAAATTCTTACATTTTGCTAGTGCATTTTTTTTTTTTTTTATAGAATTTTTTTGGGGGGGGCTAGGAAAAATTTGGGGGGGGCTAAAGCCCCCCAGCCCCCCCGTAGAACCGCGCCTGGCGATGTCGCGCACCGATCTGACGAATTATAGCAACTGTGTGTGCGTTGTGCCAAAGCTTGCGCACGCTTCACCGAATAAAAAAAACCCACGAACTTCTAACTGAAATTTCCAACAGTGCCGTTGGAAAGGCCTTCTTTCGTTGATATCTTCAAAATGACAGTTTGCCAGAAAGAATAATTTCACAGGGAGTTTAGTCCCCTTGCTATCTTTCAACCAAGTATGTTTTTCAACAATAATTGCAACAGTTACTTTTTAGATAGCTACAAATGATGGACTGTAGCTTTAATAAGAAAAAAAGGAGATTATGTTGTTATTTAGCAGGACATGCAGTGCTGTGGATGATGTTATTTATCTTTATATTTTTATTACCAGCAGAATTGTGTATGTATTTTTTTATATGCATTGGGAATGAATTTGTGGTTATCAGAAGTGAAAAGTTTGTAGATGGAATAGAAAATTGCTGCAGATTTGGGGTACATCCTTGCTAGTTAAATGTGTTTCTTTTTTGGCCTACATACATTCAGGTAAGAAGCACCCTGGAGCAGTATGACAAAGCCTCCAAGAACCTTAAGCAGACAGTGGAGGATGCAGAAGAGATAGAAAAGCGCTCCTTGCAAGCGTCCAGAGACCTGCTCCAAGTCCAGGACCACCTGGGTAACATGCAGCAGGAGGTGAAAGATATTGAGGAGAAAAGGCAGAGTCGGGAAGAAAAAATGAAAGCAGTAGATGAAGTGCTGAGTGAGAAGGATAACATGTTCAGGGTGTTGGAAGGAAAGATAGAACGGGCTACACACAGGTACAAACATCGTAATTTTTTGTTTTGTTTTTTGTTTTCTTTATTTATTAATATAAGGCTGAATAGAGTATTGCCTGTAGCAGAATTTGGACGTGGAACCTGCAGAATGTGGAGACTAACAATATACATGTAATCGTAGGACTGGATAGCATAGTTAATAGAGCTCCAGTTTGATGTTTCGGCGGTTTCAAGTCAAAACTCTGCTCAAATTAATTTCCTTGATCGACCTTAAAAGCAAAAAAGTAAGTTGTCCCCAGTCATTCTCTTCAGATTAACCCTAACTTCCTGGCATGATTAAGTAGGAGCCATACCCATCTTGGCAATTCCAACACCATATGGGAAAATGCATACATATATTTTGGATTTTGTTTCTGGAGGTGTGCCAACCCAATGTTAAAGACTGTCAGTTTAGTTTACTGTACCCATCCTGACAGATTCCAACAAAACATGCAGTTGGGGTTCGGTGGGTTGCATTCTGTTAGGGTAAAGGTGACTTTCATCTGTAGTTTAAATACTGACCCACTGGTAGAACTGCGCATACCCACATGAGCATTGTGAACTTTCAACCAATAAAATGGTAACTAAAAGGCACCAGATTCATAGGAGTCCAAATGTGACACAGGCTCTCGACAAATAGGAATGGATAAACTGTCTTAGGAATTTATGAATGTCTGATGTCAGTCCAAAGCTACCACATGTTAATACTAGTGCACAATTGAAGGCAACTCTTGAACAGACATAAGTTACCATAGGACTTCTCATTTTTACTTTGAAAAGATAAATAAATTGTTTTGTCCAGACTACAGAAACTTCAGATAGATTCATTGCTACTTGAAGAGAAAACAGCCAAACAACAGGACAGTGCTAAACAGCAGAACCAACTCATAGCCGAGAGAACCACAGAGCTGCATAAACTTGAAGAACAGGTACAAAGCATTTTATTATTTTCTTTTTTTAAAGTCACCAAATTCATCTGTTGAAAATTGTTCAAATGACATTTTTAAAATTCTACTGCACTCTACTTTACTGATAGAGTATTACTACATGCGCATTTGCATATTTCCCTAGAGGGCCCTAGCCATTCGCTAAGATTTATTACCCACAGTCGTAAATAAATAAATAAATAAATAGACAAGTAAGTAAATTTGCCTAAATGATTAATTAAATAAGTGAGTAAATATTTCATTTTTAATTCTTTAAATTAAAAATTAAATAAATTAAAAAAAATTACCATCTTAGAATAAAAATAAAATAATTAATAAACTAGAGCTCTGTGTCTGTTTCCAACAGAACATACGGCTTTTCCGCATTATGTTTTTTTAAAATTGAGGTCACGTTTTTCTGTTTTGTGCAAAACTGTGTGCATTTAACGTTTGTCTAACAAACCTAATTCAAAAATAATTTTGATTTTAGAATATTGCGTTTGTGAGATACGACAAAAGTCTTCAAAATTTTAAAATATATATATAATCACAAGATGACGTCATGATGACGTCACCTCAATATTAATTTGTAATACATCCCGGCGTACCCCCATACCAAGTTTCAACCCAATCTGACTTACTGTTCATGAGATATATAGGGACTTAAAATATACAAGTTAACAATGACGTCACATGTCTAATGATGACGTCATCGTAACAATACTTGACAGTGCGCATTATTTTATTGTGGTTTAAGTCTGTACAAGTTTGAAAACAATCGGATTAATAAAAGTGCAGAATAAAATTGGCAATATTAAAAAAATCGTAAAAAATCTACCGATGACGTCATCATGACGTCATTCAAGATTTTGTGTACTAGTATTATTATCTACCCACCCACCAAGTTTCATGACGATCAGACATTCCCTTATGTGTTTCAAAAAAGCGCATTTATGATGACGTCATAATGACGTCAGACATTTTTCAAAATGTTGTACATATACCTATTGCCTAACAAACTTAATACAAAAAGATTTTTGAATTTAACATATTGGGTTCGTGAGATGTGGCTTAAAGTTCCGAAACTTCAAAAATCTATATAAAATCACACGATGACGTCATGATGACGGCACCTCAATATTATTTGTAACACATCCCGACCTTCCCCCATACCAAGTTTCAACCCAATCTAATTTACTGTTCATGAGATAAAGGGGCTTAAAATATACTAGTTAACGATGACGTCACATGTCTAATGATGACGTCATCGTAACAATACTTGGCAGTGCTCATTATTTTATTGTGGTTTTAGTCTGTACCAAGTTTGTTAAACAATCAGAATTAATAAAAGTGTTAAATTTTGTAAGCAGAATATAAAGAATGCCACGTGATGTGAGTTCCACCATTCAATTGACAAGGATCCGTATGTCGGTTATATAATACTTGATATTTTGACTCTTGGGTATATTTGTAATCAAACAAAAGGAAAAATTTAGTCTGATTTCTCTTTCCTGCACACACTAATTCCCGGCTGAAGTTGAGAATCTCTCAGCAAGATCGATAACAGTGTTGTATAGAAAAACGTGTACAAAACCTATGGGAAAAACTTAAATTTTAAAGAATCAATAAAAAATTAGGTAATGACGTCATAATGACGTCATAGTCTTGGCATAGTTTTTTTATGAGGGTCTTCCTGTGCTGTAACTTTGATGAAACTTTGATGACGATTCCTGGTCACCAAGTTATAAAAATGGTGGCTTGAAAACGTGTACAAAGTCAATGGGCTAAAAATCCCACTGCAGAAAAACTGCGCCTTTAAATACGTGATTTGCCTTTAAACTGAAACATTTTTATAAAATATCACTTGATATTCTGACTCTTGGGAATTTTTTCGATCAAATGACAGAGCGTAAAAAATACGATTTCTCTTTCCTTTTCATAGTAATTCTCGGCCGAAGTGCAGAACTATATATATATCAGTGTTGTAAAGGAAAAAATTAATAAGAAATAACAGGGTGACGTCATAATAACGTCATAAATTTGGCATCAATTTTCTATCCCGGTCTTTGTTGTCTGTAACATTGATGACGATTCAAGATTGCTAAGTTAGGAAATGGTGCCTTGAAAACATGTAGGCCTACGTGTTCAAAGTAAAAAAAAATCCCATGCAGAAAAACTGCACCTTTAAATTCAAGTCCCGTGATATGCGTGTAACCTGAAAAATGAAATATTACTTGATATTTTGACTCTTGGGTATATTTGTAATCGAACAAAAAGACAAATTTAGTCTGATTTCTCTTTCCTTCACACTCTAATTTCTGGCTGAAGTTAAGGAACCTCTCAGCAAGATCAATAACAGTATAGAAAAACGTGTACAAAACCTATGGGAACAAATTAAATTTTCAAGAATCAATAAAAAATTAGGTGATGACGTCATCATGACGTCATACTATTGGCATAATTTTCGTATGAGGGTCTTCCTTGGCTGTAACTTTGATGATGATTCCAGATCGCCAAGTTATAAAAATGGTGGCTTGAAAACGTCTACAAAGTCAATGGGCTAAAAAATCCCACTGCAGAAAAACTGCACCTTTAAATAAGTGATTTGCCTTTAAACAGAAGCATTTTTATAAAATATTACTTGATATTTTTACTCTTGGGAATATTTTGAATCAATAACAGCGCGAAAAAAAAAATACGATTTCTCTGTCCTTCTCATAGTAATTCTTGGCCGAAGTTCAGAACTACTCAGTAAGATATCAGTGTTGTATAGGAGAAGACTTGTGGAAAATCCCACTGCAGAAAAACTGCACCTTTAAATACGTAACATAGGGCTTTTCTGCATTATGATTTTTTTTTATCAGTTATACGTCCCTGACTATGCGCATGCATGAATATAAAATCTGTCAAAGTTAGCCGAAAATCGGCTAAAACGGTCACTGTGGACAGGATTTGACCTCGGCAACACGTGTTCTGCGGGCTGACTGACATACGATGTACAGTATGTGCGCATGAACATATACATTGTGGACGTCTTGTGCATGTTTTAAAGCAGAGATATTGTCAACCTGAAGTTTTAAGCGTGCGCAGGGCATGTCTGAGTTTGTTTATTGCCTCGAAGCTTTGAAATATTTTAGACCTACCCTTAAATCAACAATTAAAGTAAAAACTAATATAAAAACTGCCATGGTTGATTTTTCTGGAATTTTCAAATGAAAAAGAGTCTTTTTATTATAACTTCCGGTCTGATGACGTCATACGCCTAAAACTTCGCACACGTCTTAAGTGGGTCAAGGTCATCATATACACTAATATTTAGGTGATTCCGACAAACTTCGCCACAGACATCTATTCAAAATACATTTTTGAAAATTTTCAACCTGTCGCTAGAGGGCGCTCGAAGATTGCATGACGTCATTGGTAGATGATTTAAAGAATACTATCAGCCAAGAGACTAACACCGTTAAAAGAAAGTTCATATCTATTATCATTTTCAAATAATAAGCCACTTCCGATTTTGGCCTTTTTCGACCGGAAGCAAGGGTCACGTGATTGCACGCACACTGAATGAAATAAAGACCTTAACCTATTCTACCACTTGCCGGTAACAGAATGCTGCGGACGCGTACGGTTGATTTCTTATGCATTTTTAAATATTAAAAGTGTCACAATTTAATTGCCCATAAATAACCACCGGATGACGTCATCATGACGTCATCATTACACAATGTTGTTTGAATTAGGGTCCCTGCTTGGACAAAGACTGGTGTAAATGAATTACTGGCAAAGAGTCGAAAATGCCCTTTGAAAATCGACAATTTTTTTAAAATTTCTGTGTACAAAGTCTATGGGAAAAATTAAATATTCAAAAATCTATAATAAATTAGTCGATGACGTCACCATGACGTCATTCTTCGAGACACAATGTCACTATGGGGTCTTTACATGGGACAAGTTTCATTAGAATACGAGTTTGTTTTAGGCCCAAAGTGCCGAGGTGAATAAACGTGTACAAAGTCTATGGGATTTGGGGTAGGAACAAGAGGAAACTAGAGCTGTATGTCTGTTTGCAAACAGAACACAGGGCTTTTTCGCATTTTACAAATATTTGTTTCTTTTGTCGTTTTGCAGTCACTTTTCAGAGTGCTTCATGCAGTTAAAGGTTCTTCAAAACGCTTAGAATAATTCCTAAAGTATAATTTTATCAAATGATGTCACTTGCCCTGCAATGACGTCATTTTTAAGACCCTTCTCAATGGACATTTTGTCATTGTGATTTTGGTTTGAACCAAGTTTAATGTCAATCCGATGAAAGAAAGTGTGCAATTTGTGGAAGCAGAATAGAATTATAAATATCGAAAAATTATAAAAACCAAACGATGACGTCATCGTGACGTCACTTTAAACTTTGTATACTAGTACCATTATTTACCTACCCACTAAGTTTCATGACAGTCAGGCCTTTCCTGATATGTATTTTGAAAAATCGCATTTTTATGACGTCATAATGATGTCAGATATTTTGTTCAAAATTTTATGCAAATACCTTTTACCTAACAGACCAAATACACAAAGAATTTTGAATTTTGCATGTTACGTTCATGAGATATGGCTAAAAGGTCAAAAACTTCAAATATTCATATAAAATCTCCGGATGACGTCATCATGGCGTCACCTAATTTTGTTTTACCTATAACACATCCTGGTCTAGCCAAATACCAAGTTTCAACCCAATCAGACTTACAGTTCTGTAGATATAGGACTTCATAATATGCACGTACATTTTCAAAAATCAATAAAAAAAATTAGGTGATGACGTCATCATGACGTCATAGTCTTGGCATAATTTTTGTATGAGGGTCTTCCTTGGCTGTAACATTGATGACGATTCCAGATCGCCAAGTTATAGAAATGGTGGCTTAAAAACGTGTACAAAGTCAATGGGCTAACACGTGTACAAAGTTACAGGCTAAAGAAAATCCCACTGCAGAAAAATTGCACCT